GTCGACCACCTCCACATCCTCAACAAGGTCACTCGTCATTGATAGCGTGCGCAAAGCGAGACGCTCGTGCTCATCGAGCCTAGGATGTGCATCCCTTGGTGCCGCCGACGCACTGTCCGACATCGCACCGCGTGCGAGAGACGAAGTTGGGCTCTACCCGTGCTCGATGTCAGACCAGCGAGACTTGATGATTTTCGTGTCGTGGACACAGGGCTCATTGAACAAGGAAGTTGTTTAATTCCAACGAATTGAGTTGCAGTATCTAGTGGACACGCGAGCCACGTTGAGGCAATAATCGATCGGAACTGAAAATGTTAATCTTAATGGGGGAGGGTGTAACGATGTTACACGTACCCTGGTAGCAGGGGTGTGTGTCATACGAGATGTGGATAGTGTGACTGCGGCCAAACAAGAATACGGTGTGTGGCTAGGTAGCCAGTAGTTATGCGTGTATTTGGATGTTACTATATATATTTAGTATATTTAGGAAAATCTATATTTTTAAAATAAGGATAATAAAAATCAGATTTGTATTCTAAACTGAAGAGTCAATTAGCCTTGAGAAGGCAATAATTACTCTTACTTGTTCTAAGTATGGAACGAAAGGTCAGTGACCTGTATCACGCTTTCTCAAGCGATAAGCTACGGCAGCCCCGCTGCATACTCCCAATCGTTTCGATAGCTAGTTAGTTAATCTATGAATTATGCTTCGCAAGCCACGCTATGCATTCCGTCAGAGAATTAAGTCTCATTGCACTGAATATTCGGCAAAATGCCTAACTACCTTATGATCTAGCAAAAATACGAAAATAATCGGAGTCTTTACAAATTTCAAGCTTAGGGTGGGAAAGTGCATTGCCTTAGATAAGAGTCAAGACACCCAAATTTCCATTCGGTGTTCTGGCGGAGTGGTTACGATACTGCATGGTCAAGTTGGAGGTTGCGGGTTCGAGTCCCCCCGCGACCAATAATTGGGTTGGTATGATGATGCATGAAATGGTCTTGGGACTTAGGTTGGTCTTCTCGTAAAATAGTCTGAACCATAATTGCTTGCGGTAAGTCCTTCGGGACTTTCGTGGAATATCGTTGCAGCACTTTAGCTAGGCAATGGGTATATGTGAAATCGTCGGAAAAAGCCAACCTCATGCTTAGTGACCCTCTTGGGTGCAGCGGTACTATTCGGTGTCGTATGGCTTGCGGAAAGCTACCGTTAGAAGACTATCACACCAAAAGGATGCGTAAATTGTGACGTGGATCATGTCAGCCCGTGGCTCCAAACGGACGCATTAGTAAACTGGGTACGACGAACTTGTACAGCAGGAGAACACAGCAAAACAACCGAAGCCCAAAGTCCCCCAATACAATAAAGTTCAAAATGACTAAATTCGAAAAGACAAAAGGCTAAAACCACAGAAGATTTGCCTCGTTCGAAAAATCAAAGCGGTATACTCTTGTTTTCCGTTTTTCCTTTCGGTAAGAAAGAACCCAATTCTCGACACATGAAAAATGGGTTTGGAAAACTTTGAGGGTGGCCGCAGCGCGGCACTGCAGCCAGTGCTAACGCCCAATTTGTCGTCACACAGAGAAAAACTCTAATGATCCATAGCCTCGGGGTACAGTGGCAGCGCATCAGAAAGGTGGAGGCTTGCCAATAGCTCGTGCAGACTGCGCCGTTGAAGTCCTGAGAGATTTTACTAGGAGCTTTTGAAAGTAGCACTCAATGTAGAGCACTACGGCGGCCTTGACTCGAGCTTGAACGTCCATAATATTGGCTTGAAAGTCACGAAAGCGAATATCATTCCGATGTAGCCATAGACACAGGAAAACCACTGCTACTACAGAGTTGAAAACCACAAAAAGTTATAGCCATAGCGGGCCTTGGCCGCCGGTTCAGGCTCCAACTTAAAAATTAAGACTGAATTCCGCTCAAGTGCACCAAGAAAAAGGTTCGAAATTCGGTAATTCAGTCGGCCCAGACTTGCATGGCAAAGTCTCAGTACCAAAAAAGATGAGGGGCCGTTTCCAGAACCTCGCAGCCATGGTGGCACATCGACTGAGTACCGGGTAGGTGATGAAGCCGATAGCCAAAAAAAGAGAGCGTTATTTTATAGAGATTGGAACAGACTGGCAGAACGTGTCTGCCCATTTTTGAATCCCTGACCCACATTGACTGAGGGGGACTGCTTGAAACGCCTTTCCAGGAATAGGGCAACGCTGGCACCGAGAACTCAGCGAGTATTGAGCGAATGCGAGTCACGCTAATTTCTGATATTTTATTAGCATCAAAAGCGTAATAGCGCAAAGTCTGGCAGGGCCCGATCGGGCAAGGAGTCAATAAATTAAGAAGACTTCCTGCCTTGTCCAACAAATTGGTACACGAGCGCTCGCTCACTATACGACCTCAGCCAAATTGGCTCAGAAATCGTGATAGACTTGCAGCCTTCACCGGGGGTGGGCAAACTCGAAAAGTTAAGCTGGGCGAAAAATTACTTGATCTGCCAGTATACGAATTAAGCCTAGCGGCCGTGAAGTCCCCGCCAAAATGCTTCCCCGGTAGCCATAAGCAATATCCACATTATTCAAAATGGGTGATGTTAGCTTGTCAAATTTAATTTGTAGCCGGGTGAGTTTTTTTGCCGAGAGTGGGTGTGCCAAATGAAAGGCAAAGGCCCGCCCAACGCTTAGAACGGCGCGAATTTGCATAGTCTGGACTTGTTGTCACGGGTGCATACAGAATGTCGAAATCTTCCCCCCCCAGGTGATATAGCGTGATCGAATCGTCGAATGACTGGATCTGCCCAAGAAGGTGTGTTAGGCGTTAATTTGCCTGCCAGTATCACTTTGCACAGCATATGAAGCTGGAGACTACGATTCGTGAATTGAATAGGCGCCAAACCCAGTCCCCCTTGGCCCAAAGGAAGGAACCACCAGTTGCGGGCAGCGCGTTTGATGACTTAAATCGACACATGAAGCGCGAAATAAGCCGTAAAAGCTGGTCTTGAAATCCTGTTGCCGGGATATGGCAGACGCCTCCGGAATACCATAGAGCAGGTAGAATACTTCCCCGCGTAAAGTTTTCGCGCGATCAAGCCAGATTGAGCACCGGATTTTCATCTCTGTTAGAAGGTGTTTTTTGTAGGCGGTCAGCGTCGGTGAGGCTTGGGCCATAGAAATTTCAAGTAGCTTTGCGCGGTCAGTATTTTCCAACACGATAACCCCATGTTGCGAAGGCTTTGACGTAAAGGTTCTGTTTCGTTGTTCCAAGGCTTGAAAGGAAGAACCACTGTTTTGGCTTTGTTTTGGCACATACCGGAAACCTCGAAAATACTTTACGAGTTGTAGGAAGTCTTTAGTATGGCTTTAATTACGGAGAAGCCCGGTACAGTCGTCAGGAAAACTGATCACCGCGTGAGTTGTTGAGCCGATTCGAAGTCCAAAGTCATGAAGATGTCAACGAATTGTAACGAAGAGTGTCGGCGAGAAAGGATCATCTTGGCGAACCCCGGAACCCAGCTCAAATGGGTCGAGTGGTCGCC